CTAGCTTTCCTTGCCAAGAAAAGTCGCCAAGAATCCCTGCGCAACCTGCTCTCTCTCTCTGCAGAAGATGCTAGGTGTTCTTAGCTTCTTGCTTTTCACTGCAAGGCAGATCTTAAGGCCTTCGGGATCGGGATGACAATCACTGATATTTAATAACAAGCCAATGGTTAAGGGGTTGATTTGTGGCCTTAAACATGTTTTAATTATTGCAACCAGAAGAGCAAGACAAACTGCTGGCTTAAAACTTCTCTTCCCCTACCCCAGGGCTTTTTCCAGGTTGACCAGGCTGGAGGAGGACCCTGAACGTGAACTGTGGAGCAAACTCTGAGCCCTCGCTCCTGCAGGCGCTCCCTCGCGCGCACACACTTGAACGCTAAGCGAGCCTTTTCCAAGGCTGTTCCCTCTTTCCGGGGAAATAAAGCCTAGATTGGAACCTTCTGCCCGGCTTCCTCATTTGGCCGTCTGGTCTGCATTAGTGTTTTTATAAGGGACTCAAACAAATCGAATACAAGGTCACCAAATAATTAACAGTTGTGAATTCCCTCCGTCCCCATTAAAATACTTCCCTGCTTATATTTCATTTTCCGTTTGCCAAAGACAACAGGGTCCTGGGCAAAAGCACCGCCGCGTTGATTACACCACTCTGCAGCTCAGGTCCACCCAGAAACCCGCTGTTTTGCATAAACATGACGTACCAGATGAACTTCAATCGCGAGGGAACCTTGGAACTCTTCAAATGCCCTCCCCGCAGCGGGGCCATCCCCAGAATTGTCCTGCTCTGCCCTCTGATAATCGCGACCCAGAAGGTAAACGGAGAAGCCAACAAACAATTGGTGGCAAACTATCCTTAGAGTTATTTCTAGGGTATCAAGTTCCTCAAGGATGTTCCGATCTCGTTTGGGTTTTTATCTGTTCCTCACCACCCTCTTTCTGAGAGTGCTATTGTACAAAACATATTAAAGGGTACTCTTATGTCAAAGCCATCTGGAAACCTAACTCACAGCAATAGTCTTAGACTCATTTTGGTTCTCTCATCCTTGAGAGTTGTGTTTTTGGCCCCTGGTTAGAATTATGTGGCTCTTTCACTACATAAACGGAAAGTCTGAGTTCCTCTCCCTAACACACATTCTCTGTCCCCTACCTTCCTCCATCCCTCCCTCCCACCCCCCTATCTCTCAGTCCTGTTGAATTCATAGAAATTCTAATTGTCTGCCTTTTCCAGGCCCCAGGGTTGGGGTCCCAGGGTCCCAGGTACTAGTGGCCTTTTAATGAGTTATTTCATGAGCTAACCCAAACTTCACTGTATCCACCCTCGTCCATTCTGATCCCATGACTGCATCAACCCACATGCACACACTTTCTCATCATAATGGATCCAAAAGCATTTTAAAAGTACAATATAGGGGCATTTCGAAGATCAGGGGATAACATGGTTTGCGCCTCTGCAAAAACAAGCACAGGAGGCACAGCACAAATTCAGATTCTTAAATCCAAAGTTCAACTCAAACTCCTAACTGGGTCTTAGAAAGTTACAGAGGAATATTAGACTGGGGGAAAGAAACTCTCAATTATTTGACTTCTGCTTCTGGCCACCATCCATTAGAAACCTCCTCCCCCCTTTCCCTACCTAAATAGTGCCTTAGTTAAGCAGGGTCTGTCATTTAAATGAGCTTCACCTCTCACTAGCTGTGTGACCTTGAGCAACTTGCTTAACCCCTCTGTCTTCATTAATTCACCTATAAAAAGAACTGATTATAGCACTTTCCCCAGAAGTGGTTGTGAGAATTAAATGAGATAATTCATGCAACAAATTTTAGTGCAGTACTTGGCACAGCAAATGTTCACTACATCTTGGTTATTATTATTACCCCTACATATCTGGAGAGCAAACAGAAAGGAGGGGCATATTAAAAAGAAAAAAAAAAACAAACTTGCCATCAAGTCTCATGGTGGCAGGGGTTTGGGTAGTACAGAATTTGCTTTCTTCGTAGACTTAAAGCACCCTTCATTTACTCTGGGCGTAGTTTATCCCTGCTCTCCCATTCTCAACCAAGGGCTTCAGGTGTGACTCCTGAGGTTCCCCGGGTGGAGAAGGCTCTTTATTTTTAAACAAATATTGTACATGAGTAAGTCGCTCATGCCTCGTGAACCGGCTTCAGGGTCCCTTGGTTTTCTTTGCTCCTCCCGTTAAGGGACCCCTGGCTCCTCCGAGCCACGCCTGCCCCGCTCGACGGCGATTTAAACGTCCCCCAGGCAAGGCGCCAAGTGAGCGCGGCGGGCCCAGCTCTAGGCAGGCCGCTGCTCTTGCCTCTCAGCCAGGCCGTCCATGGGTTGGGGGAGGGGATGTTGGGGGGTTTGGCGCGGTTGAAAGCCCCACGTGAGAGGGGCGGAAGTCCTCGCCAGGAGCCGGGATGCGCGGCTGGCGGGTCCCTTCCATCACGGGAGACGAGACACCGTTTGATGTGTTATGACATGAACCCTCAATTAGATCGCTGAGTTGAAACACTCCAATCAGGGGCCCGATGCTAAGCAAGCCCCGGAAGGTCCAGCCCGAGGTCACCGCCGGTGACACATCAAATCAAAATCAGTGAGAGGGAAAGTGAGGCTTTCCCTTTATCAAGCTGGGGCTGCAGCCAGCTACGCACCCCCTCCGCTGCGCCCCCCTCCCGCCCGCGCTCCGCACTCCTTTGCCCCCGCGCGGCGTGCGACCAGCCGCACCGCCTTCCCAGTCAACCAACTGCCTTTCTTCGCGGGGGAGACCCGGCCTTTGAAGCTGCGGACCCGGTCATCCCGCCGCGTCCCGTCCCGCCGTGGACCTGTCGCATCCCCAGCCCTCCACGGCGTTCCGGGGTTGAAGCCGGACGTCTGGATGTCAGTCCGGCCGGTCTGGAGACGTTGTCACGGGAACAGAGGGCCCCCAGCCCGGGTACACAGCCAATCCCTCCTCCACGTCTGGCGTACGGGGCTCACAGTGCAGCGCCCGCTGGGGGGGGGGCGGGGGTGAGGCTTGCAGGACAAGCAAGGGCGAAGCGAGCTCGCGTCTGCGCGGTATTTGGGATTCCCAGAGATCTCCCAGCTCTTGCCTGAATGCAGCAGGCTTCCCAACGACTCCGCGGAACAGCCCGCAGGGTCCCTCGGTCCAGTGCCAGACTCACTGGGCGCTGCGAACCAGTCAGGGTGCCTGCTTGGGGGAGGGGAGGAGATTCTTGCCGCTTCCCTCCTGGGGAAAGAGAATGTGAGCCAAGCCCGCCAGCCTAGGCCTCTGGGACTCTTCTCTTGAGCAAAGGCCCCTTGAATAGTTTTCTCTGAGCTTCCTTAGCCTCTCCTTCGGCAAGGGTAATAGAGAAGGTGGGCGATTAACAGAGGACTTGGAGAGAGACAGACGGCCGTGGCTGGGCAGGGTGGGAGGAGGGGAAGGGGGTTGGCAAGCTGCGCTGGCAGCCCGGAGGCCGGGGACCCAGTTGCAGTACAAGGAAGAAGCCACGTGTCTTTGCAAAGGTGACTTTAATAGTCCTAAAATCATCATAAAATACCCGGCGTTAATTTGCTGTCCGGACCTTTCAGCAGCTCATGAACCTCGCTGACCTCGGGCTGCAGCCGCAAACCCGGCGTGGTTTAGAGCAAGGAAGGCGACACCAGTGACAGGCTGGGGACTAGAGCCAGGGCAGAGCCTAGGGCTGAGGGGCCGTTAGCCAGCTCTAAAATGTTAGGAGAACGTGCTAGCACCCAAGGCAGCTCCGGCAAAGCAGCTTCCTCACCCGAGCCCGAGCGCTGGAGGGTTCCTGGGCCACCCCACTTTCACTGATGTGCAAGTGGGAAGACCTGGAAGCGGTCAAAGTCCCGGAACTAAGTCTGGAGAGGATGGGGAAGAGGATAGCTGCCCAAATCTCTTTTATCTCCTTCCTTTCTTCTCATCTTCCTCCCTATTCCCCTCCTTTCCTTTTCCTCCCTTGCCTCCTTCCACATTTCTGTCTCTCCGCTTGAGAAGCCCAGTTTCCGACGCCCGTGGATCCGTTCCCAATTTCTGGGACCAGGGGTAGCTCGAGGCTTTCTTGAGCACTGGCCTCGCGGCGGTCAAGGGGCGCGGGGGTTTCCGCAGACACACGGTATGTTCGCGCTCCGAGGGGACAAGGGGTGGCGTCCCTGGGAGAAGGGCAATGCCGAGGAGCTGAGAAAGGTGGATGGGCACACCCAAGTACCCTTGTGGATTAGGTGCCAACAAACTCCAAAACGTAGCCATCCCTGATCCTGACCTGCCCAGCCAGACGCTGCCGCTGCCTCTGCAGAAACACCCATTGAGGCCTCGGAGCCCCCGGGAGCGGGACGCAAAACAGCCGGAGGGCGCTGCGCACCCGCCAGGCTGACCGTCCCCACACCCGGCCCCACACTCGGCGCGGGGACTAGCGGAGAACCCGTGCGGCGGCTGGACCAGGGCACTGCCAGTCGCTGCTAGCAGACCTGCTCCTCGAACAGCGGGACTAACTCGTGCCGGCTTTTCCCGGAGAGGACCGGAGCTCCGGACTTGCAATGCTCACTCATGCCTCGGGCCGGCCGGTTTTGCCCAGAAGCTCAGGCCTTGTACCCCGCATCCCGAACAACCTGGGACCCCCGAAGCACGGATTCCATCAGTGCCTGCCCCGAGCCCTCTCCAGCCCGGATCATCTGCCGGCCGCCTCCCGTCCTCCACGTTTCCCCCACCAGCCACCAGATGAGCGGCCACCGCGCCGCTTTCTGCAACAGATGAGAGGATGAAGGAAGGAAGGAAGAGGGGAAAAAAGGAAAAGAAGGAAGCTAGAAAGGGAGGATTACAGAGTGGGATAAAACCTGTAGCCGCATTCAGAAACTTACTCCGGCTTGAGAAAAAGCAACTTAAGCAGAGAAAAGGGGAAGTGTCCAGAGCGGGAAGGAAATTCACAAACGCAGCCTCCTGCGGGAGCCGGAGCAGCGCCCTGGCTGCGGAGCTCCAGCAAGAGGACTCCGGCGGTTTCTTTGCCACTTACCTAATCCCCTGTCTACAAAGCTGGTGATCGTATTAGCCGACTTGGAAGACTGGAAAAAGCTGGCATTGATGCCCAGCTTCTCGGCGATGGAGTAAGTCCTGTAGATTGACAGCATGTACTCGTGGGGCACCACGCGCGGACCCCTGCCTGGCGGCTCCTGCGCCTGGCGCTGCTGGGGCGCCTGCCCTTGGGGCTCGTCTTGCGGCCGCGGCTCCTGGCCCTCCGGGGACGCCCGGCCCGCGGCACTCTCTCGCGGCGCCCGCGGCATCTTCCCTTCCTTGCGGCTCCGCATGCCCTTGGTGGAGCCCAGCTCCGCGGACGAGGAGGAGGATGAGATCGACGCCTGCTGGAAACCCGGCAGATCCCAAAGAAAACTAATGAGGAAGACGGCCGAGAGCAGGACCCTGGGAGTATCCATGGCGTGCAAGTGGCTGCGTCTGCCCAAGAGGCGGCGGCGGCGGCGGCGCAGGGCGCGAGGGGCACGGAGAGGCTGGACAGCGGCCGGGGCCCGGCTCCTCGGGCGGACTCGGAGTGCAAGGAGCCGGGTCCCAGCCACACAAACCCCGGCCCTGCCACGCCCCCTCCCGCCCCTCGCCGGGAGGGGAGGGAGGGGAGGGGAAAGAGGGCAGAGGAGGGTTGGGGAGGGTGGGAGGAGAGGCCGGGTGGTGCGGGCAGGAGGTGTGGGGGAGAGGGGCCGCGGTGCGCCCGTGTGGCAGGAAGACGCAGCGCCCCCGCGGGACGCGCGCGGGGTTGCCGGGCGGTGCGCGCAGCGCGGGCCCCGAGCGCTGGCCGGGGGAAGGCGGACGCTGCCGTCCCGTGGCCAGGGAGCACAGGCCAGCCTGCAGAGCCAGGGTACCCCTCGAACCCTCGGAGCCTCCGTCCCTCCGCGGCACCGCGCGGGCTCTAGGTCCTCGCTGGCTGCCTGCACTTTCCTGGGAGCGAGCGGCTGGGAGGAGGGAGGCGGCGCCAGCGGCGCCCCCAAGAGACTGTTCGGAGCAGGCGCCTCTGCACCGGGCTGTGCGCTGGCTCGGGGCGGTGGTACCTTCCCTCCTCGGCCCCAACCGCCGGGCCTGTCGTTCGCCCCCTTCAGGGGCCAGCCCAGAGCCAGAGAAGCCCCGTCGTGGGCCAGGAGCAAGGCCCAGCTCCAAACAGCCCCATTTCCTCGGTGGGGTACTGCTCTCCACAAAAACAGGCGTCTATTCCCGACCCTCGAGGTCAAGCAAAGGCCACGAGTCTTTAGAGTTTGGAGCGATGCTAAAAGCTGCTGTGCTCCCCTGCAGGCCCCAGCCTCTCCTCTCGCAGTCCCCAACCTCTTCTGGCGCTGGCTTTAGCCGCTTCACTTCTCCTTGGTCTGCTCCCCGGCTCCTCGTCCCTCTCGCGGCCTGCCCCCGCCTCCACTGCATCCCCATTTTTCCTCTCTCCTTTCCCTCCCGCCTTCAGGACTTCCTCCTTGCCCAAGTTCCTTCTGCATTCCAATCCCTCTTTCCCCAGCCTGCTTTTCTTCTCGAACTGCCCTCCCATCTCTGTCTTCCCACCCTCTCTCTTCCTGGCCTCCCCCCTCCCCTTCCACTGGACCCCTCCCTTTGCAGCTCTACCCCAATCTGTTTCTCTTCAGTCCAGCCTCGCCCCATCACGAGTTTCCTTTATCTGTCCCCAGATTCCCGTGCCTGTCTTCCCCGCCCACTGCCGCGCTCGTGGCTGGGCCTGGACGCAGGAAGCCCAGGCGCAGTGCTACTTCTGTCTCCCGCAGCGGTCGGTGCCGGGCTGCTCTGGACAGGAGAGTTTCCCTGCGCCTTTGTTGGGTGCTCAGGCACCAAGCATAAAATGCCCTCCTTTGAGCGTGCCAACAGCTCTGTGAGGTTGGTGTGACCGTTTACACTTTCATGGATGAGAAAAGCAAGACTTGGATACGTGACTTTTCCAAGGCCACTCAGCCAGGAGGCTATGTAGCCAGGGACAGAACCCAGGCTCTGACCCCAAGCCCAGTGTCCTTCTCATACAGCCTAGAAGAGTCATCCCTGGACCAACATCTCTATTTCATTGCTTGCTTTTTCCTTTTCTTTATGGTTTCATTTGGCCTCAGGTGATTTCCTCCTCCCCATGCTGCTCTGTGTGTGTGTGTGTGTGTGTGTGTGTGTGTGTGTTTTCCCCAACTCCCTACTCCCTTCCCACTCATTCCACCCCCCCTTCCTTTTGCCTTCTTCAGCCCCTCTTCTGTCCCTGCAGGGACCACTCACCTGACAGCCTTGCAGGGGGAGGGAGCCTTGTTTCCCTCCCCATGCTGCTCTGTGTGTGTGTGTGTGTGTGTGTGTGTGTGTGTGTTTTCCCCAACTCCCTACTCCCTTCCCACTCATTCCACCCCCCTTCCTTTTGCCTTCTTCAGCCCCTCTTCTGTCCCTGCAGGGACCACTCACCTGACAGCCTGCAGGGGGAGGGAGCCTTGTTTCCCTGCTCCCTTCATGCCTCTAGCTTCCTGCAGGCCTGGACTACGTCCTCCACTCTGGACACTGGCCTCCTCCAGGTAATGCAAACACTCACAGAGAACTCGCGTCAGGCATGGTTCCAAACCCTTTACAAACATTATTTTATTGAATCTTCCCAACAATCCTGGGCTAAGTGCTATAGCATCCCTATTTTACAGATAGAGAAACTGAGGCTCCAGAGTCTGCGTTCTTGGCAATTTCCTCTTGATCTCTGTGGATGCCCCTCTGGCCCTATCCTGATTCTACTTAAGTCACCTAGTTTTGGTTACATGGTTGTCAAGTTCTGAGACCTTATATTCGAAGGTGTTTTATTATAACCTTTTCTTCCTTTCTCTGTGCTTTAAAGTGGTTTATTATTGTCTACAAAAATAAAAGGGAATGGAACTGAATGAAAAAATTATTTGTCAGAGTTTTACCACTACAACAAATTAAAATGTTTTTGCTTTGGGTTTTTTTTCTACTCCTTCTTGATTTTTGTCCTGTTCATGTTGCAATCCAGGGATAGATACTATGTTGTTTTCTTCCTTTGTCACTTAACATTTTACTACTAAGTCCATTGCCTTTACTCTCTCTCCTCTGTGTCCCTCTGCCTGTCTCTGCAGGTCCTCATCACCTGTCCAGTGGCCTGCACATGCCATCTCTACAAAACCATAGACTCAAAACTCCTCATTTCTCACTTTCAGAAGCAACATTTCCCCTCTGCCTACCTGTCACCCCTGAGATGCAGTGGTCTTCTTTGGCCTGCTGTGTCTTGCTCTGTGTATCCACCTCTCAAGTGTCATCCAAGGACGGCTTCCTCCTTGTGGTCTGTCTGCATCCCTCCCCCCAGGGAAACAAACACTTGTGGTTTGTGTTATCAGTATTTTAATTTCTATCAGTATGGTGTCTGGTTAGTGATGATTCATGGTTTCAGACCCTCCATCCTGTAAGTACTGTCTGCTTCCTGCCTGCCAAGGCAGCCCTGTGTGTCCTGTCTTCATTTTGCCCACAGCAATTATTATCTGCTACAAGTTATCAGTAAACAGGAAACAAGGTAATGAGCCTATTGCTGTGGCTTAGGACCTCTCATCCTGCTAGATGGAGTCATATGGAACGGTAAATGACACTGGGGCAGGGACCCCAAAGGATGTGGCCTGTCATCCTTCCTAGGGCAGATACTACCTTCCTTCATTGCTACCAGCCCCAGGCCTTTGCAAGGAAAGTTCTGGCTGTTCTTTGCCTGAAAGAAACTGCAGTGATCCTTCTACAGATGAGGAAACAGAGGCACAGCAAATTAAGTGCAGGGAGCCTGGGGCTGTAAGCTAGTCAGAAGTATTACTAGGACTAGAAACCAAGACTTTCTGACTCCTAACCCAATGTTTCTACTATATTAAAAAAAAGTTATATTGCAAATACCACGACAGTGATCCACAGTAATATATAATGTCTGATCTCTTCTACCCCAGACCAGTGGGTATATTTCAAATAGGAATCCACCCCAGTGTCAGGGCCACACCAAAGCTTTTGCTGCGTGTTGTAAGAATAAAGATACAAAGAACAAGGTACCCGTCAAAGGCTGCTTTTAGATCTTCACAGAACATTTTGAGTCTTTGAAATAGTGCTTATAGATGAAGAACGTAAAAAAAAGGACGTTGAGATGAACTGAGAGGGTCTGATGTAGGCACTTTTAGCAGCTTGACTGTGGGATGCTTTTAGTGGTCAGGACTCCCCCCTCTCACCAGTGGCTTTGAAATGCAGACAACTGTGCAGGATGGTATCTCCTGCCCCCTTGTGGCTGCTGAGGGAGTTACCGGTAGAAACCAAACCAATATTGGACGAGGGGGTTCACAGGCATTTTCCAAGTTGAGCAGGGGATAGTGACACCTATTAACATAATTTTAAGAAATTAGAGAGTCATGCCTAAAGCGTGTATAGCATTTGCCAACAAAACATCCGTAAATGAAAGATATGCCCACCCAGAAATATGGGACCCAAAGCAAATAGAATTGTTCTGTTACTATCTCAAATCTGCGCTGTTATTGTTTTAAAGTTATTATATCATATTAATCTAGGCAGAGAAGATTCTACTAAATAAGTTAAAGAGCTTATCTATGTTATTTTATTTTTCACTAAAGTGTCACTTAAAAAGCAACTGTTATAAAAGTGACTGAGCATGTTGGACTTGGGCACTACTCACAAGTGAAGTAACCATTCTTAAGTGGTTCTAGAAATATACCCTAGGAAGACTTCATAGCACCTGAAATTTTGCACAAATGGAGTCACTTCTTTAAGGTACTATCCTCATAAAGTCACAGTTAAAATACAAACATAATAGGATCCATACTCATATTTTACTATTATATTATTCCAAATAAATGGATAAATTAATAATCCGATAATTGCTGTTTCTATTTCAGCTCTTGAGGTTGGTCTGTTCAGGAAATCTATTTCTTCCTGGCTGAGCCTAGGGAGGCTGTGTGTTTCTAGAAATTTGTCCATTTCCTCCACATTTTCCAGTTTGTGTGTATAAGATTTTTTGTAGTATTCATAATATATCTTGTATCTCTTGGGATCAGTTGTGATATCTCCTTTTTTTGTTCTGATGGAGCTTATTAAGATTCTCTTTTCTACTTTTCGTTAGCTTAGCAATGGCGTGTCAATTTGTTTATTTTCAAAGAACCAACTTTTTGTTTTATTAATCTCCTGAATAGCTTCCCTGTTTTCAATTTCGTTTAGTTCTGATTTGTTTTGATTTCACTTCTTCTGCTGGTTTGGGGTTGGTCTGTTCTTCTTTCCAGCTCTTTGAGTCTTCTTAGATTGTCTATTGTGATCTTTTTGTTTTTGGTTATAGGATTTATGGAGATAAACTTTCCTCTCAACTGCTTTAGCTGTGTCCCAGAGGATTGATAACTTGGTCTCTCCATTGTTCCATTTTTCTCATAGATTTTTTTATTTCCATCTTTATTTCTTCAGGCATTTATTGAAACCTTAAAATCTGTACCCCCATAATATGCCGAAATAAAAATAAATAAATAAATAATCCGATAAGATTGCTGAACTGTCACCTATGTGGCCCCAAAGAAATTGGACTTAGGACTGGCATATTATGATTATAAGACAAATAAAAATCTAGGGTGTTGAGTTGTAAATTCTGTTCCTTTGCACCCCTAGAGTTTCAGGCAAGAAGAATAAGGAAGAAACCAGTTAGCTGGAGTTCAAGTTGTCCACACTTGCTTCAGCCTGACCAGTCCTGCTTTGATCTGGTTTTTGACATTTTCATAAAATTTCATCTGCAAGGAAGGTCCCTCAAAAAAGAAAAGAACATGAAAGCTATTGGCTCACAGTACTGAGCATCCTCCAAGGGTAGTTAAGGGTGAAAAATCAGTGCAGTCCTGAGCAGCAGGAGGAAAGGTGAGGACTCTGTTTGCTTCAGGGAAGTGAAGAAATAGAAACAAAAATCCTGGGAAGGGTACACCTAAGATAAAACTGCTCCTTCACCACTTAGGCTGGGAGGTACCAGCCCTGTCAATACCCTCTGCTTTCCCCAGTTTATATTGAGACTGATTATTCCATTTCTTTGTTTGTTTGTTTCTTGGACAGAATAATTTGCAGAGAAGTTAAATGAAATGAAATGAAATGAAGAGTTGCACCAGATGACATAATACTCTGGGCCCCAGCTGAACGAGAGATCAGAGGTTGGGCCCATCGCATGCATGCCACCAGTATGACAGCACTAAGACTGGTAGGGAATTGGAGTCCCAGCTCTGGATATTGAAAGCAGCACAAAGACTCACTGGGGGAATCCAATCAACCCAATCACTGCTCTTCTTCGGTTCCATGGCAGGGCACGCTGATGTCCAACCATATTGTAGTTTGCCAACACCAGTGGTTCTCAAAGTGTGGCCCCTGGGTCGACAGTATTAGCATCACTTGAAAACTTGTTAGAAATGCAAATTCTTAGGCCTCACTCCAGATCTACTGAATCAGAAACTCTGGGGCTGGGGCCCAGCTATCTGTGTTTTTAACAAGCCCTCTGGGCATTCTGATGCATGTTAAGGTTTGGGAACCATTGGCCTATACCATGAAATAGAGGCAAGTTACCTGCCAAGAACTTCAAGAAATGCTTTGATTTTTAAGGGAAAGCTGTAAAGGAAATGCATAGTATGCAATTTTATTTTCAAATTAATGATTCTCATTCCTAATGAGCAAATAATTTTCATTCCCCATGTGAACCAGGTGTATTTAATTGCCTGCAGCTATACCAGGCCAAATGTGGCTAATCTCTAAAAATAAGTGGAATTGGGCCTTCTTAGAACCCAAAAGGAAGACAGAAACCACATCAGAATGAAGCAGACTACAGTCATCTTCTTACATACCATGAATGTTAAACAAGGGGCTGAGAGCTGGAGGTTTGGATCTCAGCTCTACCACTTCCTAGATATCTGAACTCAAAATCTTCTAACTTTAGTTTTGTCACTTCAGATGGATGTGCAAATAGGTCCCTCTGGATTTTCTGTGCAGATTACATACAACATGTGTCATTCTTTACCACTGATATTAGTATGATGATCATTAGTCAATTATTTGGATTTTTTAAATATCAAATTTTCTCTGTTAATCTTAGTAGTTCTCAATCTTTATACTTTTGTTTTGGAATTCCATTTTAAAATTTCAATTTAACTAGCTTTTATATTCTCTTAAAAATTTCTTTTTGTTAGTAACTTTTCTAAAAGGGCTAAGTTTGTTTGACACAGCAAGCTTTTACTGTATTTCACTGTGAATTTGTGGCAACACTTTTCTTCTGTAATGATTTGACATGTTTTATGTTTGTCCAAATATTCTAGATTAGAAACACATTGCAGTTTGCTAATAGGTATTGGGATACCTAAATCGAGCAGATGACGTGCCTTCTCAAATGAGCGTCTAGGATGCTTTTATGAGAGTAAAGATGATTAAATTCTGGGAATGATTTGATCCTTGCCAAATCTTGCATAGAAAATAACAATTATATAGGAAATTGTCTTTCCTGTTTAGGATCAGATTTGGTTTGAAAAATTACTACCAACTTTGTAAACATTAAAATAGAAGCAATAAAGATGTGAAATTTCACACAGGGGATCTACAATGTTTGGATAATTATAAGCATATGGCTACTTTACATGAGATCTCTGTTAAAAGTATATTTACTAGGGCTCTGGGAAAACAGAGGTTCTCAAATTCAGGGTTTATTTACATGCACTGAGAATGTCACATTTACTATCAATTTATCATAACCTATTTTTGCTTCAGAACTCTAAATAATATTAGCTAAATGATCATAGTATCTGTTGTTTATTGCTCTCTTGTCCCATTTGTTAATATACCAGGTTTTGCTCATGAAAGAAATTGCAAAAAGCAATTAACTACTCAATCAAAAGTGTTGAATGCTTTCTCAATAATTTCAGAAAAAAATTCGTATATTTTTTGTTAATATTTAGGGCATATGCCTACAATGACTAGTTTGAATATATATTCTAGTCTCATAGAAATGATTGATGTGAATTTAATTTATGTGCTTTTTAAAAACAGTACTCCAATGTATCTGTTACTAGGAATCACTAAAAAATGTGAATTTGTTATCTATTCACTTAGAATTATTTAACTATTAATTAACACTTTAACTATTAGAAATGGTTGGAATTTTCTTTTGAAATGAGTAAATATGGGATTTAAGAGTTTGAAAAGTCAGTGTAAGCCCTACCTTTCCTCAGAAACCTTCCCTCCATGACTTTGCTTCTCAAATGCTATGATTATGAAATATCCCGGCTACGAGTTATAATAAATTGGTTTTAAAAACAAAGTACAGAGACAGAAAGTAGAATAGTGGTCACTAGGGATTAGGGGGAAGAAGGAGTGGGCACAGAGTTTCAATTTTGGAAGATGAAAACATTCTGGAGATGGATGGTGGTGATAGTTGCACGGCAATGTGACTGTGCCACTGGATTATACACCTTAAAAATGGTTAAAATGGTCAATTTTATGTTAAGTATATTTTACATAAATAAAAAGCAAAGTATAAAAATTTAACAAAATAATTCAAGAAATGTACATTTGCAAAATAATATGCTTAAAGCCAAAACTTATCTAGACAGCTTTGTTGACGATTTTGGATTTTTGACCTCACTGCATAGACTCTGTAAATAAGCATAGCTGAGTGTGGTTTTGTATTTATCGACATAAATGTCAAGGGGAATATTTTATCAGTCCCTTTGAGATTAAAACCCAACTCTTTGTTACCTCTTTAACTGTATCTTGTGAACTGTCCTCAATTCCTTATCCCTTAGATAAGACCATTTCAGTAAAGATTAGAATTTGTTAAACTAATTTCATTTTAGTAAAGGACTAATATGTGAAGTAAATTATTAAGTATTGTATGAAAACCTGATTCTACAAGTTCCTGATGTTACCATTCTAATGTTTAACAGCTCTTGAAGGAAGGAAAAAATCTGAAATAGTTAAAATTAATATTAATATTTTTTGACTCTTTTCAGAGTCATCATTTTCCCTCAGCTGTCTCTTTCTCTCAGCTAACTGTCAATTAATGCCTAACATCCACTTAAGAATAAGTTAATTCAGGCTTAAATTCCCAAAAGAACTATTCTTTTTTTAAATTTCAAAGTATTATGGGGTACAAATAGTTTTGGTATTTTGGTTACATGAATCACTTTTATAATGTTTGAGTCATGGTTATAAGATTACCCATCACCTAGAGTTCGTTGTACCTGTTAGGCAGGTTTTCACCCATGCCCTCCTCAACCTCCCCCCAGGTTGATTTCCATTAAATTTTACTGTCCTCTGTGTATATGTGTGCTCATTGGTTAGTTCCATTTTAGTTGTGAGTACATGTGGTGTTTGTTTTTCCATTCTTTAGATACTTCAATTAGGATAATGGTCTCCACTTTCATCCAAATTGCTGCAAAAGGCATTAATTCATCCTTTTTATGACTGAGTTGTACTTCAAAGTATACATATATCACATTTTGTTAATCCACTCATGAATTTATGGACACTTAGGTTGATTCCACATCTTTGCAATTGTGAATTGTGCTGCAATAAACATTTGAGTTCAGGTATCTTTCTAATAAAATGTCTTTTTTTCCTTTGGGTTAATACCCAGAAGTGGGATTGATGGATTGAATGGTAGGTTGACTTTTAGTTCTTTAAGGAATCCCTATACTGTTTTCCATAGAGGCTGTACTAATTTGCAGTCCCACCAACAGTGTATAAGTGTTCCATTCTCTTTGCATCCACACCAGCATATATTATTTTTGGACTTTTTAATAAAGGCCATTCTAACTGGAGTAAGGTAATAGGTCATTTGGTTTTAATTTGCATTTCCCTGATAATTAGAGACGCTGAGCATTTTTTCATATGTTTATTGGCCATTTGTCTATCTTCTTTTGAAACGTTTCTGTTCATGTCTTTTGCCCACTTTTTAATGGGGTTGTTTGATTTTTTTTCTTGCTGATTTGCTTGAGTTCTTTGTAGATTCTTGTTATTAGTCCTTTATTAGATGTATAGCTCGTGAATATTTTCTCCAATTCTGTAGGTTGTCTGTTTGCTCTGTTGATTGTTTCCTTAGCTGTGCAGAAGCTTTTTAATGTAATCAAGTCTCATTTATTTATTTTTGTTGTTGCTGCGATTGCCATTGGGGTCTGCTTCATAAATTCTTTGCCTAGACCAATACCTAGAAGAGTTTTTCCAACATTTTCTTTTAGAATTCTTATGGTTTATGGTTTCATGCCCTACATTTAAGTCTTTTATCCATCTTGAATCAATTTTTGTAAGTGGTAGGAGATACAAGTCCTGTTTTATTCTTCTGCATGTGGCTATCCAATTTTCCCATCACCATTTATTGAATAGCGATTCTTTTCCCCAATGTATATTGTTGACTTCTTTGTCAAAGATCAGTTGGCTATATGTGGATAGTTTTATATCTGAGTTTTCTGTTTTGTTCTATTGATCTATGTCTCTATTTTTGTCCTGATACCATGCTGATTTAGTTACTATAGCCTTGTACTATAGTTTGAAGTCTGGTGATGTGATGCCTCCCAATTTGTTCCTTTGGCTATTTGGGCTCTTTTCTGGTTCTACACAAAGTGCAGAATTATTTTTCTAGATCTGTGAAATATGATGTTGGTATGTATTTTGGTGGAAATAGCATTGAATATGCTAATGGTTTGGTAGAATCCACATTGTTAAAATGTCAATAAAATATTCTTGAATATCAAAAAGCATTCAGGTCAAAAATCATAATTCTTGAATAGTGGCAATCCAGACACAATGATACAGATTGGTCCCATATGTCCATGGAGCCGTTTTCCTTTCTTGGACTCCTGCCACACTTACAGCATATATGTTATAATCATAGCTAGTTAGGGCAGGGCAAGACTTTAAAAATCAGGTACTCTAGCCCCTTCTTTTAGAGATGAGGAACTATGTATCTAGAGACTGGTAAGAGACTTATTTAAGCTTTCCTATTTCATCCAGTCCAGAGTCCATGCCCCCTGACCACAAATCCAGGGCTCTTTCTAGAACACCAGCACTTTTTCCTGTACTGTTCTCTAATGGGTGTCCATTTGAATGTCTTCCCTTTCTAACAAAGTTGAGGACTGTGCAGATAATGCATATGCTTTATATACTTTTAGGTATTCCCCATTGGGCTGGATAAACATGATATAGTGAAGTATTCTAATGTAGAGTGTAGGTATTTACATGCTGTATATGCTTTTACTTATAAACCCCTGGGTAAGTCACACATGATATAGTTATCAATCTATATCATCTATATAAATATATCTGTTGAAATAGTTTGACTTTCTCTTGTTCTTTTTCTCCTGCACAGCAAAAACAATAGGCATTATAGTCCATATAGAGCATTTTGCTTACTTGAAAATTATGAACTCATGACCAATTTTCCCTTTTCAGTGCTGAATAAACTTGGCCAATGTTGGCCAAAGTGCTGTGCAGAAGGGAGAGAGGAAGTTGAATCTAGATAGTAAATTTAATCTAGACAAACCATGTGTTCCTGTAATCCAGCCTTCAGGAATTTTCTAGCTCTTGTCCCTACCACATCTCACTGTCCAAAACAGTCACTAAGCTTGATGGAGTTTCATTTCTAATCATTGAAAAACGCTAACATTTTAATATTAAAGAACAAAGCTGCACAAATAGTGGTTAATCCACCAGTAGCAATATTAAAGAGAGTAACACAGGAGCAAGAAGAGCCAAAGCCTGATAATGAAGCAGGGGGTATGTTAGGAGTTTGTCTTCAGCTAGTTTTCATCTTCCTCACTCCTTGGACTTTCTGGTGGATCACAGCCTCTCTAGTCATTTGCTCTCTCTCTCCTCTGCTCAAAGACCGGCTCTCATCGTCTCCATACCTGGTCTTCCTCCATTTTCCTCTTTCTTCATTTCCACTTCTTCCTCTTTCTCCCTGCCTTTTCATTTTTTCTCTTCCTCTTCCATCTCTCTTCCCATTTCTTCCCCTTTAACTAGCTAGAATTTGGGACTGAAGCATGTTTTAAAGCTTTCC